ACAATGACACAGAGTCTCCCACAGGTGAGCCTCTCCCCGAGAAGAACTGCTAACCCAGTAGCTTGGTTGCTCCCATTCTGTGTTCTCGGTGCCTCTCCCCCTTTGCAACACTTTCGCTTATACCCTCTTTACTTTTCTGTCCCTTCCCATGAGCTGGCAAAAGACTGAACTTTCTATCACGATCCTGGGTTATTTAACAACTAAATACTGGACAGGGTTCAGCTAGGTTCTCAGAGATTTTCTAACATATTTTAAGAGAGACAGACAGACACAAAGAGACAGAAAGAGAAAGAGAGAAGCAGAAACACACACAAACAGAGACAGAGAGATAGAGAGAAGCAGACAGACAGACACACACAGTGGGTGTGTGTGTGTCTTGATGTCAGCTGTGAAGCGAACCTCTCATTTCTTCCACTGCCCACTTCAGAGCAGTTCTGGGAAGTGCTGACACTGGCTGGTGGCTGCTGTCCAGATCACGCACACAGATCCAGAGTGGGTCCTCAGAGCTTTGCTCTAAGTCAGCCTCACCTTCAGCAAATGGTGACATTGCCAAGGATGGTAATGTCAGGACTGCTTCCTCTTGGCAACAACAACAATTTATCGAGAACTACCCCTCATCCACCAACCTCCCACCTCTTCTGCCCAGGCACCCTGCCTACCCACAGTTATCAACAGGTTATTGCTGCCTGGAATGACTTGTCTGTTGATACAAGGACAAAGCCCTCATCTAGCACCTCAAGGTGATATCTGCCAAACAAGGTCATACCAGGACTCCTTCGCTGTGTGCCCTACCAATGTCCAACACTCCCCTAAAGAATTTTTTTTAATGAGTCATGCATCATACCTGGAGAATCTGGTGTTTTCAGAGTTTTGTGATACTCCTCGGCGTCTGCAAGGGCAGAATGGACACTTCCATGCACTGTGGTTCTATTGTTCGGTGAGCCGCGGCTCTAACCACAAAGAGGAGCGAGGCAAAGAATTAGACCTCAAAAGATGGAATGGAGTCTACAGCAGGTGGGCTGAAGAAGAAGTTTCTAGATGTGCCATGTGATGCAGACTCACGTGGTAGTTTGAGGAGGCAAGACCCGTGGAGGATGTGTGGTGTTTGGAGACAGTATAAATAGAACTCAACAGACAGTGATGGCACACTTGAATACCTAGCCTTGCTTCGCTGGTCTCCCTGATCTTCATTTCATTAAATGAAGTATGACAAAGAACTTTTCCTGGTGTCCCGACTGGTTCTGCTCACTCCTGCTGACTCTGTTGATTCAGAGGAGGCCTGGCTATTTCTGTAGGATCATGCCACTGCTGCTGGTTCCTGTTTGGTATCCTGACACTACTGAACTGGACTGCTAGTATCCTGAAAAACAAAGTTGAAATCACCCCAAAGAACTACTTCTAAACAGGTCCACATCCCCTTGTCCTATTTACCATCTTTTCTCCCCTATCTTTGGATGATGGGCTAGAAAGAGAAGTGTGTGTGTGTGTATATGAGGGGTGTTGAAGGTTTTGAGAATCCTTATTAAAAGTAGGTTCATCAAGGACCATGTTCCAATCATATCACAGATTTCATTCTTTCTGTCATTTAACAGACACACACCCCTACGAGAATCTCTTCCTCTTTTTTTATTTCCAACGTAATTTGATGTTCCTTATAATCTTAGGCTCTTAGTTCCCAACCTGCTGTTTTAGGGCTTCCCTGAATCTTCAAGGGCACTAAGTAAAGGCTATGACATTTTTAGCATTTCCTATTGACTATGATTGACTATGATAAGATTGTATGTACTAATTCAACATTTCTTTGCATGTATATGAAATGATATAAATGGCCTAATATATATGCTATATGATGTATGATATATACAATAGTATATGTATTATATATGTTGATATGAAATAAATTATATAAAGGGCATTTCAGGAGCTACATGCTAAAATAATCATCAGAAGATAAAATACTTTGTTACATAGGGTTCACCTGGTGCCCTAGTACAGCATTGTCACCATAACTGGACCTCACCTAGCATATGACACAAAATTGAAGGGTATTCTGTACTCATTGAACCTTTGCTTGGGGAAAAAATAAGATGCAGTTCTGATGCTCTGCTCAGGTGAGCCTTTGGGATCAGGAGGCACTGAAGGATTAGATTGTTTTCGGGTTTTAAGACTAGGTTTTAAGATTGGTCTGTCATTGTTTTGAGTGAAACTAGGGCCAATTCAGTGGTAGTTCATAGCACATCAGATTTTTGAGCCCAGTTGTGGTGGTTAATATTGATTTTTCAACTTGATAGTGTCTAGATTTAACTAAGAGACAAACCTCAGAGAAAGTCTGTGAGTTGGCGTTCCTTAAGGTAGGGGGTCTTAGTTACTTTTCTATCCCCATGATAAACTACCATGGCTAAGGCAGCTCAAAAAAGAAAGCATCTCCATAAGAAAGTGTCTCCATAAGATCCGGTCACAGCAGGCAAGACTTGCAGTGAGGAATTGTGACACCAACCCAGCCACAAAGGCTTTGACCTACAATTTTCCCTGCCTACAAGGTATCCTGAGGTAAAGGTGTGGGAGTGGCCAACCAATGACTGGTGCATCTCGAGTCCCATGTCTACTCCTGTTACTGCCAGGAGGACCTAGAAACCAGGGGCTGGAGAGCCCAGAGACCTAGGTAGAAAATGATTCCTAATAATATTCTGTTATACTCAGATCAGTGCCTAGCCCAATTGTCATCAGAGAGCCTTCACCCAGCAACTGATAGAAACAGATGCAGAGATTCACAGTCAAACTTTACGTGGAGCTTGGTGGAATCCTGCTGAAGATGGAGAGGAAGGATTTTAGGAGCCAGAGGGGTCAAGGACACCACAAGAAAACCCACAGAATCAACCAACTTGGGCTCACAGGGCTCACAGAGACTCAACCAGTTACCAGGGAGCCTGTACAGGACTGACATCAGATCTTTCCTCCAAAACTTGCTTTTTGGTCATGGTGTTTCATCACATTAATAGAAGCTCCAACTAAAACAATGACTACAGTGGTAGGAAACATGGTAGCAGACAGGCAGGCAGACAGCAATGAAGCAGTATCTAAGAACTTACATCTTACCCATAAGCAGAGAAAGAGAAAGCTAACTAGGAATGGCATGGGCTTTTGAAACCTCAAAGCTCGGCCTCAGTGACACATCTCCTCCAATAAGGCCTCATTTCCTAAGATATCTCAAACAGTTCCACTGACCAAGGACTAAGCATTCAAATATATGAGCCAATGGGGGTTATTCTTATTCAAAACACTGCAAGAATTACCTATAGTAACTGTAAGTGGTACCATGCCATAGATTGAGGTCTGACAGAAAAATTAAAAGGAGAAAATGAGTTGAGCATCAGCATTAATGGCTGTCACATGCTGGCTGTGGATACGAAGTGACCAGCTGCCATGTCCCTGCCATTATGCCTTCCTTTACTGCCACAACAGACACTGTGACTGTAAGCCAAAGGAAACCTTTCTTTCTGTAAATTGCTTATACCAGGATCTTACAGTGGTGCTGGGGTTCTGGGGAGACATCTGACTTCAGAGAAGCAGGATCCCCACTTGTGGAGAGGCAGTGGCCTCTGGTGCTCCTAGCTGTGCAGAAGAGGGAACCACAAGCAACAGCCACCTAGTGTCACTTCCCTCTTTGTTCATTCAGCAAGGAGAACTGCAGTAAACTGAGGAACTCCAGAAAACACATTGTAAGTGTTGCTCAATGCCAGGCGTTGCTGCCTGTAAAGGCATGGCACTAAAAAAGATGTCGTAAATGTTCTCTAGGGACTTGCAGGCTAAGGGGATTGGGATCTCTGGCCACTCAATTTCAAAACCACCTGTGGACTCCTGTGTTAGTGGTTATCACGTGGAGACACACAGGAGGAAGTGGATGTTATGCGAGGAAAGGTTATGGCAAAAAGCATCCTGGAAGAGGTGGCATTTGAAGTGTGGCACAGAAGGAGAAGGGGGTTTTACTAAAGCAGAAGCAGTGGAGATTCTGGCTTTAGGCTGGTGGCATTTGAACAACTTTAGGATACAGTTCCTAAAGATGTACTTTGATGATTATTTTAAGTCACTGGTTCCTTTCTTGAAGTCTACCTGCAGGTTTGTGCTCTCTCTTTCTCTCTCTGCCTCTCTCTGTCTCTCTCTGTCTCTCTCTGTCTCTCTCTCTGTCCCTCTCTGCCCCTCTCTGTCTCTCTCCCTCCTCTCTCCTCTCCTCCTCCTCCTTCCACTTCGTACTTTCATTCCCTCCCTCCCTGCCTTCCTCCCTCCCTGCCTCCCTCCCTCCCTTCTCCGTTGCTCCCTTCCTGAATTTTGAGACAGTGTTTCATGTAGCTCTCTATGTAGTCAAAGATGACCTTGGACCCCATCCTCTTGTTTCTGTGTCCACGTTGCTGTGTTTACCACTACTCTGGTTTTATTAGGTGCTAGGGGGATCGAAGCCAGGGCTTACTGCATGCCAGGCAAACACTCAACCAACCCAGCAGGTTAAGTTGCTCCTTAGATGCAAATTTCTTAAATGTACATTCTACTCAGATTTCCTTGTTTCCTAATGCAGTTTCTCAGAAAAGTTTGTTCCACTAGATATCAAAGTCAGAAATACCAAGAGCCTGAGTAGAAATGCAAAAATCTTAACCCCAACCCAGATTGGCTAAACCTAAAATTTGGGATTTTATTTGCTTCAAATTCGACATTGGCAGAGGCAGACTCAAAAGCTCCATGGGAACTGCTTCAAAAGCTCTGGGCCAGGAGTAGCCCACGAGGTTCCTGTCTTAGGCTCCAATCCCACGGTAGGGCATACAGCTCTGACATACAGCCACCAAGGCCTGGCTGACCTCTTGAATGGTTTCTGTTGGGAATCCCGCGGGCGCGCGGGCGGGCGGGCGGGCGGGCGGGCGGGGGGGGGGAAGGGGAGGGAGAAAGCGAACTTGGTCAAAGGTCATTTAGGTTTTTTGTCTCACGGAAGACAAACGGCGTCTTGGCTAAATAGATCAGATCTGACTGGGAAACAGGACCAAGGGCTGTTAAAAATGCCGAGGCTGGGCAGAAACTGACTTCCTTGGTTGTGCACCTGAGAAATGCAACCTTCTTGAGGCCCTTAGGCAACCAGAGCACATTAGAGCTCCCAGCCACTCCCTACTCCAGACCGCAGCGGTCATCTGACCAAGCCAGTCTTGGTCAGGTGACAGAAGCAGAGCACACTTAGCAGAAGACGGAAGCCCAGCGCTATGCAGCCTCTGACAGAGGAGGTCCCCGGCTTTCCTGGTGACTTGCAGTTCCCCGAGGACCCCAGGCTGGCGCGCATGCGCCTGGGGCTCCTGATGGTACTGCCGCTGCTGCTACTACTCCTGACACCGCTGTGCGGGGCCAGGAGAGCCCCTCGCTATGACCCCACGTGGGAGTCTCTGGACAGCCGCCCGCTGCCAGCCTGGTTCGACCAGGCCAAGTTCGGCATCTTCATCCACTGGGGAGTGTTCTCCGTGCCCAGCTTTGGTAGTGAATGGTTCTGGTAAGTGCATACACACACACTAGCCTTTGTGTCTCCCATGCAGTGACAGTCAGCAGTAGCCAGCCCACTTGGCACAAGTGCTCCCGGCTTGTCACTGTTTTGATCAAGGATCGGTTTGCACTTCCAGATGTTGAATACAGAGTTTCTTGTCTGAGTGTGTCCTCCAGCATCAACACGGGATATGTGTGCTCATCAACACGGGATATGTGTGCTCATCGGAGTTCTTAGGCTCTCTGCAGGTGAGCCTCCCTACAGGGCATATAGCTCATTGGCAATGCCTGTGTGATTAAGAGAGTACCAGTTCCAGAATTTTAAAATTCCCAAAGAGGCTGGTGAAATGTCTCAGTGGTTAGAGCCCATACTGCTTGTGATGGTTTGTATAAACTCGACCCAGGGAGTGGCACTATTAGAAGGTGTGGCCCTGTTGGAGTAGATGTAGCCTTGTTGGAGTAGGTGTGTTTCTGTGGGTGTGGGCTTTAAGACCCTTGTCCTAGCTGCCTGGAAGTCAGTATTCAGCTAGCAGCCTTCAGATGAAGATGTAGAACTCTCAGCTCCTTCTGCACCATGCCTGCCTGGATGCTGCCATGCTTTCTACCTTGATGATAATGGACAGAACCTGTAAGCCAGCCCCAATTAAATGTTGCCCTTTAAGAGTTGCCTTGGTCATGAAGTCTGTTTACATTGACACTCTGCTCTTGTAGAGGACCCTAGTCTGACTCCTAGCAACCACACTGGGGACTCACAACCATCTGGTTCCAGGGGAAGTTCTTGCTCCTAAACGCCTCCCTCACATGCACACGCCCACACACAAACACACATGTAACTAAACGTAAAATAAGAAAGCATCAAAAACCCAAAGCAGATAAAAGGGACAATAATAGAGGTGTATTACCTCATATTATCTTCATAGTCACATGATGGCAGACAGGTAACATAAACTTGGTTCAATTTTTAACTATTCCTAACTGGAAAGCCAGCTTCTCTCTCCATTAGAAGACCCCAGAATCTGTCTGATCCCCCAGTCAATATGGGTTATGGTGATTGACACTTTGGAAGTATGAATGTGACTTTGGGTCCCATAGAGGACAGGCTGCTACTTGCAGCCTGTGAGGTCTTTGAATCTAATCTCAGGCAGGCAAAGGCAGTGCTGACTGTGGGATTTGCTCAGCCTATGGAAATGCTTCCCCTGTCTAACCAAAATCTTTCTGTTAATGAATAGGACGGATGCGTGTTATGTTTTAGGCATGTTGTCTTGTCTTGAAATCTTTGCTCCTTAGTTCCACAGTGAGCTAATATGTGAAGGCAAAGATGGCCTCATGACTTAAAGTGAGGAATTAGGAGAGTTGGTGGCTGGGTTATCAGAGGACTTCACAAAGGAAAACGTAGAGACTATGGCCATTTTGCATAAACTGTCCTTAGTGCAAAGTCACACTGATAGAGAGAAGGGGAAAGAATCTATCCATAATCTGCATACCTGGCTGGGGGTGGGGGGTGGCGTTACTGGGTGAACCCAGGAATTAATTACTTCAAGCATTTGTATTTGTGTGGTCATGTGGTCTTTCTTTTTCTGCCACAGGTGGTATTGGCAAAAGGAGAAGAGACCCAAGTTTGTGGACTTTATGAACAATAATTATCCGCCTGGTTTTAAGTATGAAGATTTTGGAATGTTATTTACAGCCAAGTATTTTAATGCAAACCAGTGGGTAGATATTCTCCAGGCCTCTGGTGCCAAATATATGGTCTTAACTTCCAAACATCACGAAGGTAAGTGTGGCACATAGGATACATGCTGCCAATGACTAGGGAATGTAAGGTCGGTTTTTTGGGTGGAGACATTAAAGCAAGGGCATCTGGTGAAACCAGGCTTCTCAGAATACCCATAGGTGGAGATTAACAAATGTTTCCACTTTAAGATCCACATATTCCACTTAAGTTGGGAAGCATTATGGATCCAGACAGCTAGTACCACAGAATGAGAGGAAAGATGGGCACAATTTTTATGTACACGTGTAAACACTTATGGTGGTTTGAGTATGCTTAGCCCATGGAAAGTGGCACTATTAGGTGGTGTTGCCTTTTTGGAGGAAGTGTATCCCTGTGGGGGTGGGCTTTGAGGACCTGTGTCAGGCTCCTCCCAGTGCAGAGGAGTCCCCTCCTGGCTGCCTTTGGATCAAGATGTAGAACTCTGGACTCCTCCAGTACCGTCTGCCTACAGGCTGCCATGCTTCTCACCATGATGACAATGGACTGAACCTCTGAAACTGTAAGCTAGACCCAATGAAGTGTTTTCTTTTCAAGACTTGTCTTGGTCACAATGTCTCTTCACAGCAATGAAACCCTAACTTTGACATCATTTAAATAAATTACTAGATTTATTTAAAGCAGCTTGAAGAGACCGAATATAGTGAGTATAGTATATACTATTTCTATGTCTATCTATCTATCTATCTATCTATCTATCTATCTATCTATCTATCTGGTATATAGTGAGTATAGTATAGTTGTACTTTCCTTTCTGTTCTTTCACTTCTTCCTCTTTCCTTCCTTCCTTCCTTCCTTCCTTCCTTCCTTCCTTCCTTCCTTCCTTCCTTTCTTTCTTTCTTTCTTTCTTTCTTTCTTTCTTTCTTTCTTTCTTTCTTTCTTTCTGTGTGTTGTTGTTGTTTTGAAACAGGGTTTCTCTGTGTAGCCCTGGCTGTCCATGAATTCACTCTGTAGACCAGGCTGGCCTTGAACTCAGAGTTTCAACTTCTTCTGCCTCCTGAGTTCTGGGATTAAAGCTGTGTGTCACCACTGCCCTGCTGCCTATCTGTTCTTTAATGCATTCTTCAAAAACATCATGGGGCTTATGCTGCCTTAGTCTTGATTCCCACAAGTCGGCTGTGCTTTGTGCATACCTTTTAGATACGAAAGTAGTGGTTAAGTTGCTACTGATGGAAGAAGACAGAAGCCTCAAAGGAAAAGAGTTAGAGTTTTATAATAGTGCCCAGAAACATCAAAAGAATTTAAGGTAGCACAAAAATTCTGTATCAATAGGATGTTCTGCTAGAACTACCCAGTGTCCATAAGACCAGAGAAGCCCTGGCTAGTGCTATCTCAGATTAACATGAATGTATTAGGTAGTTTCCTTTGCATGATCTTCCTTATCTTGAAAAGTTGTCTTATATTCTTCAGGGGTAGGAAGGAGGCAGGAGAAATGAACTCAAACCAAAAATCTGCAATCACCTTAAATATTTTCCCAGTTGGCCACAGTCTGATAGCTGCCCAATTTCCCCTGATGGGAGTGTGTCGGATCACTGCTGTCTAGGAACTTTTCCCCTCTCTGACACAACGTGAGTTCATGAAAAAGAAAGCTCATATACCTTTAGACCGATGGTTTCCCCCTTCCTAATGCTGTGGCCCATGAATACACTTTCTCATGTTGTGCTGACCTACAACCATAAAATTATTTTGTTACTTTGTAACTGTAATTTCGCTACTGTTATGAATCGTAATGTAATGTATGATATGCAGGATATCTGATCAGCAACACCTCAGGGTCTTGGCCCACAGGTTGAGAATGGTTGCTCTAGATTCTGATACCAGAGGATGAAGACGGCATGTATTTCTGTTCAAGGACCTGTGCTGCCAAAGTTTACTCTGCTTTCAGAAAATGTACTGCTGGCTGCCGCCACGGGGAGAATCACTGTGCTCTCACTGTGGGTGATGTACTGACATGAAGAGCCAAGGAGTTGCCATACCGCCCTATTGGGTTGAGCAATTTTGAGGCAGAAGTGGGCCTTAAATACTCACAGTGCCTTCAAGCTTCCCACGGACATCCTTAGAGAAAGTGTGAGGCGTTTGAGGAAGTTCTCATAATGAATTTAAAGAGTGGTTCAATCCTCAGGCTCGTCCAGACATGAGAGTAAAGTGAGCAGCTATGGTGTCTGGCAAGCATCTATCCTTCAAATGCTTTAAGGCTAATGAAACAGTGACAGAGTTTCTAACGGCCCAAGGCACAAGCTGAAATTTCTGTGGATTTTATACTGCCTCTTCAGCCTCTCAGTTTATATATCTCTTCTAGTATTTTATATAGAATGAAGAGCCAATGCCTGTTGAAATAGGAATCATTCCAAAGTGGTTGTGTAATGCTCTGTGTTGCTTTCCTTACCCTTTCAGTTGTTAGGATGGTTAATATTGGGGGATTTTATTTTCCCTGATGCAAAGAGACAACATGAACAAGGTAATTAATTTAATCAGGGCTGGCCGTCTTAGTTACGGTTTTACTGCTGTGAACAGGCACCATGACCAAGGCAAGTCTTATAAAGGACATTTAATTGGGGCTGGCTTACAGGTTCAGAGGTTCAGTCCATTATCATCAAGGCAGGAGCATGGCAATGTCCGGGCAGGCATGGTGCAGGAGCAGCTGAGAGTTCTACATCTTCATCTGAAGGCTGCTAGCAGAACACTGACTTCCAGGCAGCTAGGGTGAGGATCTTAACCCATGCCCACAGTGACACACCTACTCCAACAAGACCACGCCTTCTAATAGTGCCACTCCCTGGGCCAAGCATATACAAACCATCACACTGCTTATGGTTTCAGAGGTTCAGTCCATTATCATCATGGCAGGAAACATGGCAGCATGCAGGCAGACGTGGTGCTAGAAGAATGGAGAGTTCTACGTCTTGATGAGGAGGCAACCAGAAGTAGACTCTCTTCTGCAGACAGCCAGGAGGAGGTTGTGATTCCACACAGTGTGGTGCTTTAGCACAGGAGACCTTAAAGCAGGGATGCACTTCCTCTCTCAAGGCCACACCTATTCCAACAAAGCCTCCCCTCTTATAGTGTCACTACCCATGGGCCAAGCATATTGAAATCTCCGTAATGAGGGAGACAAAAAGTAGAGGACTACTGGGAAATAGCATATCTTCTCTCTCTCTCCACTTCAATTAATGATCGAGTCACAAGAGATTTACTCCCTGTCCTTGTGAGTATTCTGAGAATCATATTGTAAGGAAACTCATCCAATCGATAGACCCAATGACTCAGAATCCCACATGCGAATCCCACAGATGTTGTATCTTAGGTCTTTGTGCCAAAAAGTAGAGATCATTGCTCAGTGTGATGGATGGATGTGGAAGGTGTCCTCCTCTTGCCGATGACTATTGTTGACTGTATATTTTGCTTTAGATGCTAGGCTAACAATCAGCTGGTGGGTGTAGCCAGAAACACTACAGACACCATGACACTATGCTGTTCCCCAAGAACCTCAGCTTCTGTAACTGGAGATGGAGTGTGAAGCTTTTACAATCATCCTGAAACATTGAAAACCTCCAATCTCACATTACTTACAATTACTTATATTCCCGTTGGTTTGTCCAGATGAGTACAAGACAGAATGCAGAGTGGGTCAAGAAACAGTTGTTTGGGGAAGCAGTGAATTGTAGGTTCATTTTGAATTGTTTTGATGTTCTCTTGGGTTGAAATTTGTCAGCGTCAAGGTGGTAACACTTCTGAGGGTTGTCTGCTGTCCTTTTCCAGGCTTTACTCTGTGGGGCTCAGAGCATTCTTGGAATTGGAATGCAGTCGATGAGGGGCCGAAGAGGGACATTGTCAAGGAGCTTGAGGTGGCCGTGAGGAACAGGAGTGACTTGCACTTTGGTCTGTACTATTCTCTTTTTGAATGGTTCCACCCACTCTTCCTGGAGGATAATTCCAGCTCATTCCAAAAGCAGCGATTTCCCATTTCTAAGACGTTGCCTGAGCTCTATGAGTTGGTGAACAAGTACCAGCCTGAAGTTCTGTGGTCAGACGGGGATGGGGACGCGCCGGATCACTACTGGAACAGTACTGGCTTCTTAGCCTGGCTGTATAATGAAAGGTCCGTACATGTCTATGCACCTGTACTTAAACACTCCTACTGTGTATATAAGCATTTACATTCCTGTGGTTGTATGCTCATTTGTGCTGTGGAAGGACCAACTCATTATAAGCCATGCTTATTAGCTTGGTCAGTATTTAGTAGAAATGATCAGAAATATGTGAAATACTGCCAAAATGATTTTGTAATCAATTTAACAATCCCAGGATCAAGACATGACTGGGACAAACTGCTTTAATTTGTAAGTCAAAATGCCCCCTGTACTTGGAGTCCCTGTTCTCTCTACTGGATCCACCAGACATAAGAAATTGAGGAGTGCCGGGCAGTGGTGGCACACGCCTTTAATCCCAGCACTTGGGATTGGGAGGCAGAGACAGGTGGATTTCTGAGTTCGAGGCCAGCTTGGTCTATAGTGTGTGTTCCAGGACAGCCAGGGCTATACAGAGAAACCCTGCCTCGAAAAACCAAAACCAAAAAAAAAAAAGAAAGAAAGAAAGAAAGAAAGAAAGAAAGAAAGAAAGAAAAAAGAAAGAAAGAAAGAAAGAAAAGAAAAAGGAAAAAAGATGAGAAAAGAAAAAGAAATTGGGGAGTGTATTTTACATGATGTCAACACTCAATTTTTTCAGAGATTTTCCAGTAGGAGGCGCCAATCATAGGACAAGGACCTATAAGGATATTTAGTCCTTGGCAGTGAGGGGTGGGGAATGGGGGACGGAATGGAACACGACTTGTCTTGAGTATGAATTCAGCTTAGGCTACCATTCGCACCGTAAGAGTGGGAGCTTGCAGTAGCAGTATAGTGTTCTCACACACGCCATGCTGCCACCTCCAGACTCTGGGTTTTATACCGGTTATCTGCACTAAAACAATAGTGAAGGAATTCACTCTTCAGAGAGGCTGAGTAATTTGCGGCAGGCCTAGAAGCTGGAATGTGAGTTGAGACTCCAATCATCACAGGTCTACTTGGCTTTAGAAACAGAGCCTTTCTGCTTTCTTACAGTCATTTGTCGGAAGTGGGTGGATCTGTTTGTGGTGACATTGCCCTCTGTCTCAAGAATGCTCTCTCTTGAAGGGAAACTGCCCTTTTCATTTCAGCCCAGTTCGGGACACAGTAGTCACCAATGATCGATGGGGAGCCGGTTCTATCTGCAAACATGGTGGCTACTATACTTGCAGTGATCGATATAATCCAGGACATCTCTTGCCACACAAATGGGAAAACTGCATGACAATAGATAAGCTTTCCTGGGGCTACAGGCGGGAAGCTGAAATTGGTGATTATTTTACAATTGAAGAATTGGTGAAGGTACAGTAAAATATGTTGTGGGGCTATTATTCTGGAATGTTCTTATAATGAGGGGGTTACAGGATTTTTTTTTCCTTACAATTGGAATTGTGTAGTGCCACAAACTCTCAACATCATCCTCTGTGGGTTTTTTTTCCTATGAAATTATGTGTGTGTGTAATATATTATATTTATATATTGATTCAACTTTTTCTATTAAAAACTATTCTTAATTTTTCTCTATTTCAAATTGTATTATTTATTTATTTATTTTAGCAACTTGTGGAAACAGTCGCATGTGGAGGAAATCTTCTGATGAATATTGGTCCCACCGTAGATGGCATCATCCCTGTCATTTTTGAGGAACGATTAAGGCAAATGGGAACCTGGCTGAAAGTCAACGGGGAAGCTATTTATGGAACACACAGTTGGAGGTCTCAGAATGACACTGTCACTCCTGACGTGTGGTAAGTTTTCCTGCTTAACAAGAACTGTTTGATAGAGGAAAGCTCTCAGTATCTGAGCTATATATATAAATAGAGAGAGAGCAGGATAAAAAGAGGGACTGGCTTACTGCTGCATGACTGCACATGTTCCAACTTGACTCAAATACAAAGAGGAGGAATAAGAATAAGCATGTTATTGAACATAATGTTTATTGAGTTAATCTGCTTAAATAATGCCTAGATATCCCCCTCGTCATGTGTACTATTTAACTAAATCGCCTGTTACAAAATTGAAAGACATTTAGATACTGAAGGTTACCGTGGGGTTAGCGTAGAGCAGACTAGTGTTTCATCACTAGTACATTTTCTAGTTTTGGCGATGTTATATTCCACCAAATTGGCAAGCAAGAGATTCCCTAAGGGCAAAGTAAACAGTAAATTAACGTTAGCCAATAGAGGATTTTTGAAAAAAACGGTAAAATAGAAGTACTATCTGCTCCTGCAGAGACACAAGCTGTGGTGGAAAGGTGTGCATGATGGTGGAGAAACACCAGAAATGATATTTAATGTCACATTAAAGAGCTGCAGGTGAAATGCAAATGAAAACCACAGCCAGAAAACACCTCACGTCCTTTAGATTAACTCCTCTTTTAAAAAGGGCAGCCGATGATCTTGGAGAGATTGAAACTCCAGGGTCGTGAGAATGCCAAATATCAGCAGATGTGACTGGCAGTGTGTCAGTCCCTAAAAACATTAAAACAGAATCACTCCGCTACCCAACAATTCCACCTCTGAGGATATATGCAAAAGAATGATACCAGAAGAACTATATCCCCAGACACTTACAACGTGAGAGCATGGAGTCCACTTATAGACAGTTAAGCTAAATGGGTGTGCATACACATTATGTATATTATTCAGCTCTGAAAAGGAAGGTGGTGTAGTTAAAATTAATTCTGAGTTTCTACCCCACATTTGGTCATTTAGATCCCAGATAAAGGACACAAAACCTTTATATTTATAATAAGCCTTTAAAACACCATAGCTAGGCAGCTATCAACCCTCTAAGCTATTTTGTCTAGTTCCCTGTCAATAACCCTGAGATATAACTTACCATGTTTTGTCTGGGCCTCTCTTACTCCAACTGACCAGGCCTTGTGGCCAGTTCTTATGATTTCTTACCCCTCTTCTCTGTCCTCTGTGTGTCGTCTCTTCTCAGAGCCCCAGCCCCAGGGGACCAAAACCCCACCTACCTCTCTTCTGCCCAGCTACAGGCTGTAGGACAAGGATCTCCTTATCCCTGAGGCAACCAGGTCTTGGGGGCCATCATTTAGCTTTACAGTACATAGCAACAGACCAAACCTCAACAGGAAGAAAATGCTGTGACTCAGATGAAATTTTTAGGAATTTGTGTGAAGTGAAATGGCCAGACACACAGAGACAAATATTATTGATGAGGTACCAAGAGTAGTCAAAATCATAGAGGCAGGAGCAAGGGGGAGGGAAGAATAGGGACTTGATTACGGGGTGTAGTGATCTGTTACTGCTATTAATTCCTGTGTGTTCTTTCTCCTTCCCATTCTTATACTCACTTGCAGAAGATTGGCTAAATCCAGCCGCAACTTTCTAAGGCACTGCTAAGTGTGACTACACCTGCAGTACAATGTCCAATTGGCTCACAGTTGGCTTTAAGCCCAGCCCTTGTTTTCTCCCTCACATCCCAAGTCCTCCCAGCACTTTATTTGTGTGATTGTCTACCTATTCTGTTTTAGCCTGAGCCACGGAAAAACAAGAATCATGTTTGGCTTTCTGTTGCGTCTCTAATAGTGAGCACACTATATGTCTGTAGGTGGGAAGCTATGCAGCTTCTGCTAGCTTATTTCTACACTCTGTTTTCAGCTCCATGTGAGCAATTTGAACAAAGATATTAGCTCATGAAGCCTCCACCCCACCCCAAACTTCCCTTTAGGCAGGTATGGCAGCATTCCTGTAATGCCAGTATTGAGGAGGAGAAGGCACCGGGGCTGTCCTGAGTTCCAGGCTCATTTGAGCTACAGATTAAGACTCTGGCACAAGACAGAGCAAAAAACAACTATTTTTAATACTGGAGGGCTGAAAAGGGGAGGCACTTTCCATACCACAGGGGAAAGAGGGTCTTTTTATTTTACTAGTGGTGATATTGTCAAGTATCTATAAAATAATTCCAGACATGATCAATAAATACGGACAAACATGGGATGTAACTTGTTACTATGCTGGGTTTTTGTTTGTTTGTTTCCAACCAGGTACACATCTAAGCCTGAGAAGAAATTAGTCTATGCTATTTTTCTTAAATGGCCCATCTCAGGAAAGCTGTTTCTTGACCAACCCATAGGTAGTCTTGGGGAAACAGAGGTAAGAATGAATTTTATCTTGACTGTTCCTTTAAATTGATGAGTAAAACATGTTGGGGGAGAACATAACTTGTTTTAACTTCTAAGGGAAACTTTCAGGTGAACGTCAATGTCATGTACCTAAGAAAAAAGTTACTTTTAAATGAACTTAGACAAGGCAAGGCTGGCAACTGTTTAGCCACAATATTTTGAAATTCTAAGAAAACTGAACTTGTAGGCTATAGTACCTCTACACATAGCAGTGTAAAATAGGCATTATTTCTCATAGTTACTGTGAGATTCAAGTTCATTCCATTCACCGAAAATGAGTTTTTCTAAGATCATTAATTGCCTCCCTGTCCTAGTTAGGGTTTCGCTGCTGTGAACAGACCCATGACCAAGGCAACTCTTACAAGGACTACATTTAATTGGGGCTGGCTTACAGGTTTATAGGTTCAGTCCGTTATCATCAAGGCAGGAGCATGGCAGCATCCAGGCAGGCATGGTGCAGGAGGAGCTGAGAGTTCTACATCTTCATGAAAGGCTGCTAGGAGAATACTGGCTTCCAGGCAGCTAGGACAAGGGTCTTAAAGCCCACACCCACAGTGACACACCTACTCCAACAAGGCCACACCTCCAAATCGTGCATTTCCTGGTCCAAGCATATACAAACCCCAACGCATTCCCCAACGCATCACCAAGGACACGTTGAATCAAAGAAAGATGTTATCATTCTTCTGTGATTATTTAAGGCTGTCATCAGCCCAAATGGAGTGTCCTGCAACGTATCTTGGGCCCTTTTCTAGAAGTGGATAATGTCTTTGGAGTGAACTGTTATGTTATTCTACTTGTATCTCCATTTCTCAGTTTAGTTCTAACACTTGAGGTTGACCAGGCTGAAAGGTGGGTTTCAAATTCAGTGTTAAAGCACAGCATCCTCACCTGGACATGGTAGTGTTAAAGCACAGCATCCACACCTGGACATGGTAGTGTTAAAGCACAGCATCCACACCTGGACATGGTAGTGTTAAAGCACAGCATCCACACCTGGACATGGTAGTGGTTTTGTTTTTTAAAATCTATGTCTTGCTTGGCATTAATGAATACAATTAGAATTTTGGGCTTTTGTGGTTTTCCATGTGATAAAGTGTTATGGTTCAAATAATCCTAGAGAATGCTCAGAACACTTGCGTGAACTCACTTAGAACGAGAAGACCAAGACTACAAAACAATCATAGCCGTCATTGGTTGAATTCATACACTACTGACCAGTGGATGTCACTGGAAAATCTGACAGTCGTGGCACCGGGGAGAAGGAAGTCGTTATTCTGTGTGTGATTACTGGGCAGGCCTGAACTGGACAAATTGCTCCCAGTTACTAAAAAAACAACCCTGCCGTCTCCCATCCTCTCTTCAAGCATTTCCCCCACTCTGGTTCTCCATTTTCCTTTCCCAGTCTGTGCACATGTTTGTTCATGTCTTGAGGGTGATGTGGGAACAAAGGGAGTAAGATGTAAAATGTGTGAGTGTTAAAGGTACAAATGGAGCCGTCTAGTACTTTTTAAGAAACTCTAACTCCTTAGCAAGTGGACATCACAGTGATGCATTTGGGAACGTTTGTACATTGTCCCTGTTTCTGATTACAGGTAGAACTACTAGGCCATGGCCGGCCACTGACTTGGACATCTTCAAAGCCAAATGGCATTATAGTGGAGTTGCCTCGGCTAAGTGTTCATCAGATGCCCTGTAAATGGGGATGGACTCTCGCACTAAGTAACGTGATTTAACCTGTAGCCGAGAGACATACGCTACAGGTACCTTTAACCAGGGGAAATGGCAGAGTTGTTTTTTAAGTAACACTAAAGAAATCAGGCTAAAAATGATACAAAACCTGAAGTCATTAGGCAATGCAGCCTCCTTTCTCTTTCTTCCTAAATTCTTTCCTAAATTATTGCTCGTGTTAACATTTGCCCATGCTTTCCTCCAATGTCTCTTCTTACTGAATCCATTTCACATGGCACTCACAGGTGGAAATCTTTTTTTTTTTGAGAGAAGCTAGAAACTGATGACACTATGGTCTGAATTTTCTCCCAACTCCTAGGCTTCTATTGAAGCCCTAATACCCTATGTGGCTGTATTTGGAAACAGAACCCTTAAGATGGTTAAGATTAAACCGTCATAGGACTAGCCCTAATTACAGAAGATTTGGTGTCTTGGAAGGGAGAGACAATAAAGATGCAAGAGCACAGGGGAAAGCTGTGTAAAGGAGGCAATCATCAGCAAGCCAAGGGGAAGAGTGCAGAAGAAACTGCGTCTCTCAAACTCCGTCATCATGGACTTCTGTCCTCCAGGACTGTGAGGAAACGTAACTTCCTGTTGTTGAAGCCATGTCTTTGGTCTCCCTCATACCCACATCACTCTTTTATTAAATCCTCATATGTAATGCAGACAGTGTGTAATGAATTTGACTAGATATATGTGTCCAATGAATTCCATAATTATCTTATCATTTATAAAGCTTCTATTTGCTGTAGACATTTTGAAACACAAGTCACTGCCTAGATCACCACTATTATTTGATAATATTTTCATATATATTCTTCCAATTTGGGGACAGAAAGAGATTTGAGATTGGAGGCGTAGGATTACTTAATAAGGGCTAAAACTCAGGTTGCAAACCTAGTTGAAAATTGGGAAGGTGTCAAGAACTTCTTTTCTGTTCTTTTCATGAAACACAACGACCAAAGCAATATACAAGAAGAAGAGTTTATCTTGGCTTACAGTGCCAGAGGGTTCTATGAGAGTCAGTCTATCATAGTATGAAGATATAGTAGCAGGCGGACACAGCAACTGGAGACCACCACATCCTCAACTGCTAGCATGAGGCAGAGAGTAAACTGGGTAGGGTAAGCATTATACCTATGGTTCTCAACCTTCCTAATGTTGTGACCCTTTAGTATATAGTTCCTGTTGACGTGAGCTCCCCTCACCATAAAATTATTTTCATATGTATAATTTAGCTACTGTTATGAATTGCAATGTAAATATTTTTGGAGATAGAGGTTTGCCGGGGGTCGAGACCCTCAAGTTGAGAACCACTGCTCTATTCTATCAATGCCTACCGGCCCTGTGGTATATGTCCTCCAGGAAGGCTGCGTCACCCAACCCTTCCCAAATAGTGCCACCAGCTGAAGATGACGTGTTCAAATATGTGAATCTATGGAGGATTTTTCTCATCCAAATTCAAAAAAAAAAATCTCTACTTAGATCTTTGTCTTAGTTTCTTTTCTGTTGCTGTGACAAAACACTGTGAGCAAGGCAGCTTATAAGAGAAAGAGAGTTTAACTGGGCTTGTGGTTACAAAGGACTGGAGTCTATGGTGGCCTAGTAAAGGTGTGGAGGTAGGTGGCCAGAACAGTTGCTGAGAGCTCACATATGGATCCATATGCAGTGGGCAGAGAAACACCAGGGAAGGCTCCTGACGCACCTCCTCCAGCAAGGTAGCACCTCCTAATCCTCCCCAAACTTCCATCAAATGAGAACCAAGTATTCAAACACATTAGCCTATGGGAGCCAGTCTCATTCAAACTACTACTATGTTCCTGTAAAATGAGCTAAAAATAATAGTGACTCTGATATAAGTTTAAAGAAAAATCAGTTAAAGAACTCATTCCCAAAAGGTGTTCAACATGGTCAAATGTGACGATGTACACCTGTATTCCCAGCACTAGAGAGGGTCATAAGTTCAAGGCCAGCATGTGGTAAATAGGCACACAGACCATCTTAAACAAAACAAATATTTATAAATGGTCATATCTTTTTTGTTATATTATGTATTCAAATTCATTGTTCAAAAAAAAATTTAAGGCTGGGCAATGTTAGCTCATGCCTTTAATCCCAGTACTTAGGGGGCAGAGGCAGGCAGATCTCTGAGTTCAAGGTCAGCCTGGTCTACAGAGCAAGTTACAAGACAGCCAGGGCTACACAGAGAAACAGTATTGAAAAACCAAAAATAAATAAACAAACAAACAAATAAATAAATATTTTAAGTAGAGCGTAAATAAAATACCATTCACTATATGTATCTACTAAAATCTCTCTTTAAGGTGGGATATTTTAAGAAATTACCCATTACTAAAGACCTTGCAACTATCAAGACTGGACTCAAAATTTTGGGGCTCAAGCAATCTTACTGCCAAAGTCTTCAAGCAGCAGGGAATACAGATGTGCACCACTACACCTGGCTGATAATATCAACTATTCAAAACTATGTCAAAATATTCAAGGGGAAAAATATTTCAGTTAGTTCTAAATCTCAATATTTTATTAGAGAGCCATTATGTATACGTTTAAATTATCAAATTCTACACCAAGAAAACACACACAAAAATTCTTTTTAATTTTTTCTTTTCATTAATTTATTTATTTACTTTACATCTGATCACTGAAACTAAATAAGGCAGTCTATTTAGGGGAATGGGGTCCTCAGGCAGGCAACAGAATCAGGGAGAGTCTCCCACTCCAGTTGTTGGGGGACCTGCATGAAGACTAAGCTGCACATCTCTCATAAATGTGTGAGGGGGGCGGGGTGGGATGGGCCTAGGTCCAGCCCATGTTTATTCTTTGATTGGTGAAAAAACATAAAATTTTAAAAAGGAAGAAAGTCAAACAAAATCCAAAGCAGTATTGTAAGAATCTTTGACACACCTGTTAAGTCATCTGTTTAAGAAAGTGTTTTAGAGAGGAAAAAAAAATGTGAATTGCTTAAATTCTTAGTTTTCTTTTCTTTACTCAATACAGTTGAAAGTAAAAGGAGAAAATAAGATGTCTAAAGCAAATCTTATACAGCGTTTAGCTAATGAGTAGCTGTATTAGTTACTTCCGTATTGCTGGGATTAAACACCAAACAAAAAAAACCAATGTAAGGATACAGTCACCATGGTGAGGCCTGTACATCTGGGGTGTGAGACAGCTGGTTACATTGGATCTACAAATGAGGCTGAGAAGTGAAGGTTTGGCCAACATTTCTTTCTCTCTCTCTCCCTTTCTCCGTCTCCCTCTCTCTCCTTTTTCCCATTTCCCTCCCTCCCTCCCTTCCTTCCTTCCTTCCTTCCTTCCTTCCTTCCTTCCTTCCTTCCCAGTCAGACCCAGAACATGGAATGATGTTACCTACCTAGTTTTTGTACTACAGTTGATCCTCTCTGTAAATGACCTCACAGGTATGTTCATAGGCATTCCTGTAGGCTGGTCCAAACCCAGTTAGCTTGACAAGGAAAAGTAACCATAACAGTACCTCATAACTTGAAACACAAATAAATACATTATGTTAACCCTATCACTCCAGCCCTTGTCCTCTGTTGTATGACAAAACTTGTCCTGCTACATGTGTGCTACACATGTCTACTAATCCCAGATGGGAAATAAGTGTTGCGGCTCTGAGGGGCAAGGGTTCCCCAAACGGAAGCATTGCAGCTCCAAAAGGTATCCTGGCAGTCGAGAGCCCAAGAGTTCCATGAAGTCAACTGCACAAGAAACCTCACATAAGACATTTATTAGAAAAGACATGAGAGGGTGGCTCCCTCTGTTTCAGCTAGAAACAGGGAACTAAGCAGGAATCTGACTTATATAGAGTTTCTTGGAAGGAGAGTTTTCTAGGGTGGAGATTTCCAGGGTTGGTGAGATTTCAAGTCCTGCCCTTGGGGTAACCCCAGGGATTGGTGGAGCTTCAAGTTCAGGGATTGATGGGTTTTCAAATTTCTTAAGCTTGGACCTTTGCCATACACTCATGACAGGCCAAAGTATGTATACTACTAAAGTCTGACTTGGTGAACCAGTGAGTTTTACTGGAATTATAGGAGTGTGGGTGAGAAGTAACATACAAGAGCAAAAGTGACTCAAGGATAGCTTCATCATCAAGGCCACTCCTGAAGGGACTCTAGCCCACTTGAGCATATGGTTCTGGCAGGCCTTGCCCTTCTCCCATATTTCCTCTGCCTTGCTGAAAACTATTAGATTACATTCCTAAAGCTCCAAAAGGTCTGCTCCCTTATTGTCCACTTCCTCCTCCTGAGGCTGGACCACCAAGGTCCAGCAATCAAAAGCCCCCTTTGGCTCACCGAATTAACGTGCCCAATTAAAATTAAACACCTCATCCTAACACAGGTTTCCCCCTTTACCTTTATAAAGTGCCATCGGCCTATGGGCCACATCTGTCTGTATGTCTCTTCTTTATCTAGAAGCAGTCCTTTGCTCCCCAGGATAAATAACTCCACCCTCTTTCCCTTGTTCCGTTTTCCTTCTTTCTCACAGCAATATCCCACACCCTGGTACCAACTTCTGTCTTAGGGTTTTACTGCTGTGAACAGACACCATGACCAAGGCAACTCCTAATAAGGACAACATTTAATTAGGGCTGTCTTAGAGAGGTTCAGCCCATTATCATCACAGTGGGACCATGGCAGCATCCAGGCAGGCATGGGGCTGGAGGAGTTGAGAGTTCTTCATCTTCATCTGAAGGCTGCTAATAGAATACTGACTTCCAGGCAGCTAGGATGAGGGTTTTAAAGCCCACACCCACAGTGGCACACCTACTCCAACAGGGCCATACCTCCTAATAGTGCCCCTCACTGGCCCAACATATACAAATCATCACAATATTGCTTAACTATGAAGTATTCTATAATTAAAACCCAAGTTACAAATAAAGAACATTCCTACTTCAAAAGTGATAAACGATATGCTTGGGACATACAGTGAGGAAAGACTGGGTCAGAGCAAGACCAGAACTCAGGAGAACCACCAGTCCTAAAGCACCTGAAGATTTTAATATCATCATGTGGGCTCCAACAGCCTTGGCTAGCCTTACTCGTGAAGTTTCAGCACATGTAAGGCCGTCTCTTAGGCTGGGTCTACTCTGTAGCTTTCCTCAGTGGATGTCTCATGATCCTGACATCTCTGACATCTTGGGAGTCTCCATTACCAGTAAGCCTTTACTTTTACAGCCTCAAGCAATGCTCTTCAGTGGCCCTTACAGGGTCTTTTTGAAAGAAATCCAACACTGCCGTATGTTGCCAGGTCTCAGAAGTGCAAGCCTCCATGATCCCCTAACTTTTGCATTTTACATATTTGGAAAATTATATGGATACTGCTATTGCTTCCTCTAGAACTAGTCTGGCTTCTTTCTGCCACATCAGGGCTGGCCTCTGCTCACTGTGGTAGCAGAATCTGAGGAAGCACTTCCCTAGGAGGTTGTGTGAAGCCTTTTACTGTCATTCTAAGCTTAGACCCTTACCTTTCAAATTTAATGTACACTTTCACAAGTTGGAGTCCTTGAACAATTTACTATTACTGTTAGCAGCACAGAGAGGTTTCTCTTGGATATTGTAAATCTCTTGACAATTGAGGTTGCTTTCCTCAGACCCTCTTGTCTGAAGCTTGAAACTAACTGTTCTCCTCACTAAAGTGATTTTTTTGTTTATCATTCTGCTTTCAGAGCAGCAAGCAATGAGTGACTGAGTAGCAGTTACAATGCCTTAAGATTTTCTTGGCCATACTTCATTACATTAATCCCACTGGGTGAGAAGAAGACCACTGCTACAATTGGGCCATATTTGAAGCAAGCTTGATTTTATTGGAGTGTACCAGGAGCTGGCCAGCAACTGCCTCCTAAGTCCAGTTAAAGAGGGCAGCCCTGAATCCAATATCTTGGGTTCCTTGTAAGGAGTAAAAATCACGAGTAGTTGTAAAGCAGGTTTACAGAAGACAGACAATGGGGCAATAAGGAAATACAGAAAAATAGCCAAAGACAAAACAAAAAAACAAACAATCCCACCATATGATTAGGGAGGGTCAGGAAAGGTCAGGGAGAGTCGGGGAGAGTCAGAGAGGGTCAGAAAGGGTCAAGGAGGGTCAGGGAGGGCCAGGGAGGGCCAGGGAGGGCCAGGAAGGGCCAGGGTCTAAAAAACAAGTCAAGGTCATGGGTTAGGGCAGGTCAGGCTCCAGGAAACAGACTTAAAAACAGCAACTCAGCTCTTACAGTAAATGGAAATTTATTTTAAACAATACAGCATAATGATGGCTGCCTTCAAAATGGAGTCAGGCAGGTTCCTCAGTTACTTTCTACTTTCACTTCAGTTCCATTTTCACGAACCAAGAGGAAACCAGCCAAGGGTTGTTTTGTTTCCAAAAAATCTCCATTCTCCCTGAAGCCTTGTGAACTGGGACGTCACTATACTCGTCTTGGCATTCTACTTTTCTGAATTCCCACTAGATTAAGCCCTGCCTATGCATGCCTTTATCTAGTGTTTCTTTAGCAGGAAGCTCCAGACTCTACTACATGCCCCCACAGACCAGCTCTGAAGGTCTGTGAACCACACTATTTGGTACACATTTTCCATATTACTTATTGCCTTGCTTTGACAAAATACCTAATGAAGGCAACTTAAGAAAAGGTCTATTTTCCACCCATTGTATCACTTCTATTCAGTCTGGGATTCCAACCTATGAAATGGAGCTACCTACATTGGGGTGAATCTTTTCACTGTAGCACTCAAGGCCAAAAATGCATCTTGGCAATTGAAATCTAGTTGACAATGAAAATTAGCCATCACAAAAGCTTTGAGAGAGGCACATTATATGTCTCAGCATTCAGGGGGGCTGACACTGGCTGTACTGCCAGTAACTAGACTACATAATAAAAATGTGTGAGCATCTAAATTCAAATCTATTTAGGGTATATTTTGTTTCCATGCGAAATGTACTATATTTGTGCCTATATACACTATAAGTATTCAAAAATCACTAAAGCATATTATTAGGATCATCTGTGGTATGAAAGACAAGAATTATTGGGATAATTAAAAATCAGTATCAGGTAACAGTATTGGTCCTACAATTCATCTTTCCCTTAGAGTTGTCTTGTTTGAATTTCAGTTGGTTTTTACATGTATTGTCTAAATATTGAAGGCAAACCAAACTAGATTACTGGGTTAAATAAAATAGAAACTGATGTTGACTTTACCATTCTAAATGTATGGGTTCATCTCAGTTTCTTATTAATGCCATACAGAGGTGACTAGGGCTGTCTAAAAGGTCAGCTTGTTCAAATACCTATGAATTAGAAAAAACTTCACTCTACTTTTGTTAAGTAAAAAACGTTACTAGATAAGAATTTGTCATCCTTATCTCCAAGCAAAATAAACGCCCTTCTCAGATTTACACACCTATAAAAAGTCTATTTATTATGTCTGGAAGGGGAAACGCGTAGAAGCAACAATGTCCATTCAAACAACCCACTAATTAGCTAATGCTCATTTCCTGCTGACTGATAGCTAGGATAAGCAAGGGTTTCCAGTGAATGGCACACCTTTCAGTTCCATTCCTATGTGGTATGTATCAAACCTCTGTTATGTGGGAGTAATGGGCTGAATATGTCCATCTCTTGAACCTCCAAAATGTGCTCTTAAATGTGAAGTCTTAATTAATGTAATTAAGTTTTGAAAGGAGCTCATGTTGCATGGGGGATGGACACTTACACCATAGGAAAGGACACAGACACATAATTAGGGTTCTATTTCTTAAAAAAGTACCCCTGGAATCTGAAGGTGAGCAAAGAACAAAAGGATTTCCCTTAGAGCCTTCCGAGGGAGTATAGTCTTGCTGACACCTTGGTTTTAGATTTCAGAGTAGTATTAATATATATATATTTGGTGTTTCAAGTAATTCAGTTAACAATAATTTGCTATGGCAGCCCTAGGAGACTAATAATACAAATCAATTCTGCCAGTGGAACATTTCATTGCCTTTATTGTATAAGCTAATGATGGAGAGTGCAGTTTTCTTGACAGCTATGTTGGATACTGTGGAATAACTAGATAAAAGTGTTGCCTTAAAAAAAATACTGTTGGATCAACATGAATATCTCTGAACTAAAAGATGGGGAAGTCTAACACAACCTACATGGATGCTGCATGTGATTTTTACCAGAAAGGCAATAGAGAACATCTCTCAGTAGAGTTACAGGAAAGGGTATGTGTAATTACTACTAAGGAACAGAGATACACCCTGAAAAGTGACACAAGGCCTAGATCCTATGGGAAACAATAACTAAGAATGTTTAGATTTTTAAGTTAAAATGTCTAAGGCTTTATGATAGACTGTTTTAGATCAATTTCTAACCAAACTGTTTCAGACAAGAGGGTTCTAGCACTATTAGGAGCAAATCAGTACTATGAAGTGTCATTAACTTGAAATGCATAGGTCATTTCACTGCTATTGAACCTTGCCACCTCATCAATGCCCTTGACTCTGTAGGTGCTGATGACTCCAGGTGATAATTTTCTGCTGAACAATTTTCTTCTGACAAGGCTATACCTGTGTGATGTCAACATTTCTCTGAAATCCTGGGCATTTTTGGATGAGATGCATGGCCTATTCCATATATTTATAATTAGGGTTCTATTTCTTTAAAAAATAAAGTACAATCAGAATCTAAAAGTGAGCAAAGATTTCCTCAGAGCCTTCAGAGGGAGCATAGTCCTGCTGACACCTTGGTTTTAGATTTCACAGCAGAATTTAAAAAAAAAAAAGGATTTTTGGTATTTTAAGTAATCCAGTTAATAGTAATTTACTATGGCATCTCTAGGAGACTAATACAAATCAATTCTGTCAGTGGAGTATGTGTGTGTGTGTGTGTGTGTATGTATGTATGTATGTATGTATGTGTGTGTTCCAAAAGGCAATTTCTTTCTTTCTCAGAAGTGACAGTATCAGGATATCTTATCGAATGTTAAAAATAAGTGTGTCTCTTCTGACCTCTTTCTTTATACATGGCTGTCTTGTTACAGACCTTAGCCTAACTTTACAAAGAAAGACATTTACAATCCACTTTCTACCATCTCCTATTTAGCTATATTGTTTAATGTGGCAAGGACATAAAACTATGTTCTAAGAACAATCTATTACCAGATATAGTGAATCCATTGCTGACACGTGATTTGGTCAGTTCTGCCTTAATGCCCTTCTAAATGAAGAACCACAGGTAAGGTAGAGACAAGAGATAATTTATTTTTATTTACAATTTTTCTGAAAAAAAAAGTTATACGAAAGCACCAACTATATACCAGTTAAAACTTTAAACTAGCATGCTCTTTAAAAAAAAAACAGCAAAAATATTACTAAAGAACAAATAAGTTAATGGTTAAAAAGTATTAACTAAACAAAGCTATATTTTATTAAAATAGTTTATTGCAACAAGTTATACTCAAAATCAATACAAAGTTATTAAATTTATACACAAATGAATAAATCTCTGTAGTTATTAATAATTGTCAGTAAACAACGTAACATTAGCCTGAAAATCTATATGCAACCTCCTGAGGGTTGCTAACAAAGCTTTAGCAAATGCTGCAAATAAATACCGAAGAAACAACAGTGAAGAAAAGAAATAGGAGTTAAATCCACTGATTTCCAGATGGCAAGCCCTCTGGCCGGTATGTGTGAGCCAATCACATGTGCCTTCTAAGGGTGGCTGGAGAGAATCTGGCTTGCTCTTGCTCACTTCAGAGTCCAGGAAACTTCATAATTAGTTAAACATCCTAATTTCAGAGTCCACACATCCTAGATCTACTTTTCAAGACGTATTTCCCCTCATTCTATGGGTGAAAGGACAGCACATTCCATTCCATGTACGTATAAAAGTACCTATTGGTTTGGATCAGCTATCCAGACGGTAAGAACTCATGATTGATCCTGATGTAATCTGTGCACCAGTTAGATACACCTGATGAAGTAGACTGCTGATTAAAAATACAGTAAGGTGCTAAATGAATCTACTTCATTATGAAATGAAGACTTTGCTTAAGAATATATTTTATTAGGCATTTGGTTGCAAATTGTCACTCTAGGTATAGGTGATTTATTCAGAGTGCTTTTTAATGTAGATGACCCCGCTTTAGTTTCTCTGGAAAGAAGACAGTCATTTCTCCAGTTGTTGGGGGGTACTAAACGCTTCGTACACATTAGCAGCAAAGTCTTTCACTTGCTCCATCATCAGCAGATCCTGGAAACAATGATGACAGCACAGTTTGTTAGAGGGTGTGAAATTCATCTCTACAAGGCAATGCATCTGTCTTGAAGCTTTGTGTACTTAGGAACAAGGAGAAGCTAAGGAAAGGAATGCTTTTCTTATACTAAATCATAGAAAATACTGCCCAGTTTCTTATTTCTAGAAAATATAGCAAATAATTCATATATATATATATATATATATATATATATACATACACACACAGTATATGTCTATTTTACATGAACACATATACACAAACCACACACGTATACTTTATAGCAAAGGTTCTCAATGTCCTGATGGTGAATATAAAGCTGTGGGAAGAAACCACCTTTTGTTTTAACTAAAATCTCATGTTTCCTTTAAGCAGGATCACAGGCCTCAAATTGCATCAATATTAAATGAGAAAAGGGAATTTGTCTTCAATGTAAACCAGACTCTTTAAAATGCTTATGACAGCTGTGGAAGTTAACAGAACTTCTGTTATATCTTGTCAGTTTAGAAAGAAGCAACATTGCTAGCTCCTAAATTTTCTTTTAACTGTATTTTGAAAACTATAAAAGTGTTTTCATTTAAAATGATGGGAAGTGAACTCAGGAGGCCCTGGGGAGTGGGAAGGTCTGGTGGGGTAGGGGTTGGGGAAGTGGGGACATCCTCATGGAGACAGTGGGGGTAGTGGGGGTGGGGTAGGTATGAGATGTGGAACAGTCAGAGGGTAGACCAGGAAGGGGACAAAATCTGGAGTGTAAAAACAAAGGTTAAATAAAATTTAAAAAAACAAGTTTTTTGTTTTTTTTTTCCTGTGGGTGTTTGTTCCCTGGAAGCTGCCTCTGCACTTCTGCACTACAGCAGCAATGCATCTCACACATGCATGGGCCTCCTACAAGTGTAAACGGACATCAGTACGCAGATGCTAAGGTGTGCTTGCTTGGATTTGGCACAGGTCTTGGTGTGTCCCACACCGGCCTTGGCTAGGCACTCCTGCCCCAGCCTCTGGGTGCCAGGGTTACTGATGTGCGTTGTCACACCCAGCTGCTGCTTATATTATTTTATTGCATAATGAAAAATACATAAATGTCTTAAGCTTAGAGATTTTTCCATAACTAAAAACCAAAACACAAGCAGGGCCCACTGGAGTCCCTGGCTGTCTCCACCCTGAACTACTCACACAAGTAAACAAACAAAAAAACTATATTTACCATTAAATGGAATCTACCCTACAAAGCCCAACACACCTTTACTAAATCAAGCTGGTGGTTACTAACTCACTGTTCTCGTGTGGGTATGGAGCTGCCTGCTACAGTCACGTGTTTATGTGTTTAGTATGCTTCTACACCTGACTGGCCGGGTACTCTATTAGAAAAATTGTCTTGCCAGTGCTCTGCAACCATTTACACTGTGGAGTGAGTTACCGGACCTGGCCTTCACACGAGTGATTTTCCTGTTGGTTTTATTTTTTCATTGCCTCTGTAGTTTTCTCCTCAATTAAAAAACAAACAAACAAACCAACAAACAACACAGTTTGATGCTACATGCAGCCAACAAAAATGTACACATCAAGATAGTTATGTCCCTAAATTCAGGGGCAGTACTATGCTTTTATCTTTACTATTATCTTGCAATTGATTCTGTGTGGGTTTAGGTTTTTTATTTCCATAGGAATCAAACTTTCCCCTCATCTTCTTGGACTCCTGAAGTCATGTCTATAAATCCTAATGAAGCACTGACCAAAAGCAAGTTTCTTGAGCGGTTGGACTGAATATCTGAAGATGACCATGTCAAAGGAGTTCCAGCCTTCACTACCATGGATCCATCTGCTGTTTGGTAAAGCCCATGGGCCCTTACTCAAAATCATGCCTACAAATGCAGACAATAAAACTTACCTTTTTGGTTTGATTATCGGTTATATGGGTTTAAATTCAAATGCAATGTACAAAATTACGTAAGCCTTCAAGCTGTGGCTGCTTGTAGGATTGTGAAAGGCAGCCTGATTTCTAGTTGAGCTAGGTTTGAAACCCTGGTGACTCAGCAGGAGACCCCACAGGGTCCCCTGCAAGGGATGGTAGGCATTTGCCATGCTCCCAGACTCCAGGCTTCTGACATAAGGCTGCAGTCCTCCATAGATTTGTATCTTTTAGTCACATAGGGCAACGCCCCCTAGCCCTTCCACAGGTAGAAGGTATGACCACAGGCCTCAAGACAGATCTCCATAATAATGAAGTACCTAAAGGCCAGAGGGCCTTAGCCAATGAAGCATTCCTTCCCAGACCCTCCTCCCTGCAAAAGGTATTTAACCTCAGGCCCACCCTGAGGAAACGGGGTACAGTTTTCATGTACTTTCCGTCATGACAATAAACATCTGTCAAGCATTGCTACTCACGTGGGCACACTACCACTCGGAATATGGTTGCAAGCTCTATTTTAAACAAATGGTCGCAGCAGGAAGTCTACTTTTGATTTGGAAACAGCCATGAACACAGCTTGTTTTCAGGTACGCTTCTCACTTACCTGCACAAAATGACTAGGTGTCTCACTGCAAACTGAATGGATCTGTCCGTTCACTATGGGAATTATCTTAGCTAAAGGCAGGCTGACACTGGACAGGCTGAAAACAAATTACCAGCAGTTATTTTCTGAAATTATACACAGGCATTTAACAGTATACACATATCACTGAAGAATACTTATAGAAATAAATGAATAGAAAACCAAAACATAACTTCCCCATCTAAAAATACCAGCTATAGTTGATTCTATGGATATTTTCTTCTGGCAATTTTTTTTATTTTCATATTTTTATTCTTTTCAACTTACAACTCTACCATATTTTTGTCATAAGAACCTCTATGCTTTCTACATCTCTTTCTGTTGTTTTCAATAACAAGGTGGTAGTACATATGAGTACACTGTCACCAGCTTCCTAGAGCCAGCTCTCAAGTTCTTGCCTAAGTTTTCTCAATTTTTATGTAAGTGCCTGTGTAAACTCAAGAGTTCCTGGTCAAAGGGTACATGTGTAAGGTCTGTAGCATCCCTGGCCAGCTGCCTCTGGTCTCCTTATGGTGTGGGAAGTCCTGCCACGGTGCCTCTCACACACTCTTGTCCTTCATCTCGGCCCCCCTGACAGCCAAATATGTCCTAAATCTTTATTCCTGCTAACTTTCAGTCATCATACGACCAGGTTAACTTTATTATCACGTGACAACATTATATCAACAGAACTGTCTGCCAGTCTCCTGTGGGTTTTAAATAGTATTTTGATCATATCTATAGCTTGATGTTAGGAGAAGAATTCAATCCTTTTATTTTCCTGGCTTTCTAAGTATAAAGTTCTGTGGCTGTCAAACAGTATTTTTCCAGTTAAAAATGACCTTATATTTTAAAAGAATATACATAACTTAGACAATTATGAGTCAAAACCTTACTAGTTGTCTGCCTTAAAAATAAATATAAGAAAATCCAATAGTGCTCTAAAATTTTGGTCTTCAAAATTGGTCTTTTCTTAGTCTTTTTACATTCATCAGAATAAGCAAAAGTACAATCTGAACATGCCAATATAGATAATCTTAATTCTGTTTCTGAATTTAATAAAAATCAGCCTGCTTCATCAATAAGCATGTTTGCTTATTGATTTCAATTTTTATTATATCAAATTTTATTTATATAAGATACAATAAATTTCTTATTCTATGCTTTTTCAAAAGCAGTAAAGATATTTTTTGTCCTGCTAACATTTTTATTATTTATTTATTGTGCATATGTACATGTGTGTGTGTGTGTGTATGTATGTATGTATATATGAATTATGTACATGTGTGTCTGTGTGTGTATACAAGGGAAGGTAAGAGTACAAACTGGAGGAGTCAATTCTTTCTTTACACCATGCAGGCTATGAGAATTGAATTTGCGTCAGTAGGCTTGGCAGCAGGTGACTTAACTGACAGCCATCCTAGGGGCCTTGTTCTATTAACATATTACTGTTATAGTTCACTGCAATAGTTTTCCTAACACTTAGTCCTTCTTTCATTTTTGATATTATTCCTAGTTAGTAATAGTGCTGAAGTATGACTAAAGTTCTATATTCTGATGTCAGTCAGGTTATTGTCCATTCAGCCTTCCTTGCCTTTAGACCTAAAATAACTTTTTTTTACTCTCATCACTTGAAAAATCCTAAGGTTACTTTAAGGGTCCTCTAAGGTGGGAGGTGGAGAGACGGCTCAGAGGTTAAAAGCACTGACTGCTCTTGCAGAGGACTAGGGTTCAATTCCCAGCACCCACATCAGGCAGCTCACAACCATATTGACCCTTCAGTCCTTGGGGTTCCAAAGCCCTCTTCTGGCCTCCTCAAGGACTAGCACATGTATGGCATATAGTAACACACATACAAAGGTAATTTAAAAAGATTAAAATAAAATAAATGTTTAAAAATGAAAAGAATGACAGTGGTTGTAACATAAGCACATACTTGCTATCACACACTGAACTGGACACCGACTTCATAAGCTGTTGACCAGTCACCTCCTGAACTTCTGCAGTGTCATCTCCCCTCCTGGACTGCCGACACCTGCTGCATTCAGCTGGAGCTTCATGCTTCAGTTACACTTTGAGCCTCCCCTTAGTGGCTTTGTGCTCTTTTGCTTTTCTTGGCACATACTACATGCTTCCCCATCTACAGTTTCCTATTTCATATCTACAACCAACTTCATCCTTCAGCACTTTTAGAACCACTTCCCTCGTGTTGTATGTCATCACTGTTATACAACATGGTATGGAGGTTGTAGCCATCACTCACAACTATTCAAGAGAAAGAACCAAAGGCTAATGAGCTGGCTCAGCAAGAAAAGCCCTAACAACCCAAGTTTGATTCCCAATACTCACATTATTGGAAAGAATCAGCCCCTGAAAGCTGCCTCTCCCCACACAGATGCACACACATATGAGCATGTACACACAAATTAATACAATTACAAAAGTTATTTTTAAAGCAGCATCTTATTATGTAGCATTGGCTGGCCTAGAACTATTACAATTTTGGACCCAACTATTGCAATTCTTTACCTCACTTGGGGGAATAATTAGTACTTTGACAAATACAGGTTACACTGGAAAACCTTGACTACAGAGAGTATATAAGATTAGTCTTCAGCTGAAATTTATTTTTAAGGGTAGGTCTAAATTGTTTTAAGAGTAAACCTTACTACTCTGAGCACTCCAAATGCTCACCATTAAGGGCAAATTATTCTTTCCTGAATAATAAAGAGGGTCCCCAGGAATCAGCCAAAAAAATGCCTTGCTAGGCCTAGGGTAAGAATTACATTAGAAACCCCTTATCTGTATTAGATACATGCCAGATACTGTTTCCTCAAAATTTAATAGGTAGGTATACAATAATTGAGCCCTGATTTAGTAATCCACCATTTTTCAAGTATGATATAAAACCAGAGGATCTTAACCAAGGATCCTCATATCAAAGTGATGGACAGAATAAATCACAAGATAATTTCCAACAATACAGGTCCATTACATAATAATAGAACGACAAACATTACTAATAATTGAACCAATTAGGTTTTCCCTATTCTATAATGACATCAAATGAATATATTTAAACCTTTCTGAAAATAATTACTGGAATATAAATGAAATATAACTATAAGAAACTAATTCATCAAACAATAATCTACAAGAGTGTCTGGTTATTGCCATGGTCAGACCATTTATTAATTCAGGCCAACAATGACTACCTTTTCAGTTTTTTATTCTAAAGAATTAAAGAAAAATGGATTTTGACTTAATAAAATGCTAGTTTCAGAATGCAAATACTTCACTGTAGTAGCAAAGGTATGGGGAGAAAAATGCAAATTTTATTATTAAATTCAGAAGGAACTTTTGTCGATGAAATCATTGGGTTAGAATGAGTTTAATTTGCTGAAAACTCAGGGTGCAGTTTATCACCTAAGATTTCTTTTTTTATTAAAAAGTTACTTATTTTTATTTTATGTCTGTCAGTGTTTTGCCTGTCTGTCTGTCTGTCTGTCTGTCTGTCTGTGTCAGGGGGTTGGGTCCTCTGGGACAGGAGTCAGAGACAGTTGTGAACGGCCATGTGGGTGCTGGGAACTGAACTCCAGTCCTCTGAAGAGACAGCTAGTGTTCTCAGCCACTGAGCCATCTCTCTAGCTCCCTCAGATTTCTTTTCATCTGATACAACAATGTAAAAATATCCAAAGCATCACATTTTAAGAGCACGTGTTCATATTATAGTGTTTTATATGCCATGTTACCTGTTTATGGAGTTACCATGTTGTAGGTCCTGTTCAGTGGGTCGAAAGAATTCTGCCATGTTGTCTAGAAGTCGACTGAAGCCTCTGTTTAAACAGGTATTCAGAACTGTACTAAAATCTGGACTAGATAAAATAAGAAGTGTATTACTTTTTACATTCTTAGTGGGCAAAACAAATAAACAAAACAAAAACCTACCCCCACTAAATTCAATAACCATGTGGTTGCCTTTGAGATAACATTTCTAGTTACAATCTAGTTTTCATAGCATGAAAAACTGTCTAAATTTATCAGTCAGTTTTTCAAAATTAAGCATAAAAATCAGTAGTATTGTTTAGCCTAACATCATGAAAATATTCATCAGATTTGTTTCTTATTAATATGTATTTTATATAATGTATTTTTAAAATGCCAGCTGGCAAGAACACAAAGAAATCCAGCCAGTATAGAAACCAGCATAGAGGGTGCTCAAAGACTGACAGTAGACCCATCATATGATGTGGCTTTGCCACTCCTGAGTGTTTATCCAAAAGGGTCCCAGTCAGCATGTCATACAGGCACCTGCACACTCATGTTTACTGCAGCACTATTTGCAATGGCTTAGTCATGAGCCTAGGTGCGCATCAACAGAGGGATGGAGGAATGGTACAGACAATGTGGTAAATATACAAAGTGATAGTGTTTGGAGGAAAATGGCTGCAATCAGTGATAATCATGTTAAGTAAATGAAGACAGTCTTAGGAAGACAAGTACATCACTTTTCTCATTTGTGGGTCCTACATTTTATGTACACATATAAAATAGTGTATAGATATGTGACGTGAAAGAAGAAGTGAAGCTGTCTACGGAAAGGAGTAAGACTTATTGGTTGGGAGAGGGGTGATAAGGGAGAGAGAGTATTAAGGAACAGGGAACATGCATAATAATAAAGGAGAGGGCAGCAAGGAGTGGGGGATATACTCGAAGTATCCAACTCTGTTTCCTTCTACTTTAGATAGGAAATCCTACCTAAAGGAGGGGAATAGATCACAAATTTCATTTTCAGTTAAATTATTAAATATTTGTTCAGAAAACACTAGAAAATGGTCTTATTTACACTGAAAATATAAGTAACATTTGCATGCACTCTACATACCTATCCAGCATGTCTCTTGTCTCATTGAGAAGTTTAATAGTGGTAATATCTCTGGGAGAAAGCCCATAGGCCTGTAAAATAAAAAATCTAGACTTCAGGGGCACAAATATAACAAAGTCATGAATAAAATAATCATATTAAAAACTCGAACATTTGAGAATATCTCTGCTTTGTCAACAAAAAAACTTTCAAATGAAAAAATATGTATATGTAAAGGTTTATGCAAACATGTCGGCAGCATTTAAAACATGAAATGAAGCATACTTTGTAAGGCTTTCTTTATTTGGTCAGTTTTGGATGTTTCTGGCATCCATAAACAAAGACAAGTAGCACTTGTTAAGACTAACAGGGGACAGAGTGCTGGCTCAGAAAGTCAGAGTCCTTGTACTACAAGCCTGCAGACCTGGGTACAAATCCTCAGTGTTCATGTGAAAATCCAGGTGAGGCTATACATGACTATAACCTGCAGACTGAGGACAGAGACAAGCACACCTCAGAACTTGCTGGCCAGCTAGCCTGGCCAGAATGTAGAGTTCCAGGTTCAGCGAAAGCCTATCTCAACGCAGTCCAGTTGAGAGCAACAGAGGAAGACATACCTGCTTTGGTCTACACGTTTGTGTACCACCTACACACTTACATGGATTCACTGCACACTTACACTACACACACAGGACGGAGTAGCACATACTGCTTGCACTATTGAGACATTTTATTAGGATGCGTGAGGTTTTTTTGTATTTCTTTCCTTTTCTCTTCCCCTTTCTTTTTGTTCTAAGCATTGTGAGGCTCCTTGTTTCATCTTAAGTGTCAGTTAAACTCAGTACGGCCTGGGTCCTCGCCCCTCTCTTCACTCACTCCATTCAATCCTGTACATCCTTTCTACTTTGTACTGCTGTTGAATTCTAAAATTTGAAAATTGTTTTACAGGGTTAGAAATCTTATTGCATTTCAATGGGATCTTATTTTATAATAATTTGCTAGTTTCTTTCATTAATCTCTCTCTTCTGTTTGAAACGAGGTCTCCCTATGGAGCACAAGCTGGCCTAGAACTCAGTGATCCTCCTGCCTCCTGAGTGCACAGCATGGCTGGCTCTTTCACTGATTTTGTCTCACCTGTCTTCCTTACACTTATACAACTCCCTTGATAGATTACAATTTTTCTTTCTTTCCCTTCCCTCCTTCCACTTTTCTTTTTATTTCTTTCTTGCTTAATCATGTAGTCTCTGTAAGTACCCAAACAGATCATCATTCCAGTGTCCAAGCAAAGAGAAAATTCTTGGGCAATGATAATGAACACTGTAGTCTACAGGGCCTCCCTGCTAGAGAGCGATCTGTTCCCAGCTTCTCTAGCTATACGTTAGAGCTGTTACCTTCCAATGGCAAAGAATGGATTCAGCTGAATCTATAAATAATAATAATGTAAAAAAGTTACTAATTTAAAAATTAGTTGAATATATAACCAAACCCTTTGGAATTTGTATTGTTCCTAATGAGAAACTTCTGTAACACCTGCTCAGGACACACTAGGGTACAGGGCACACTAGGGGACAGCAGCACTAGAGCTGGTATTAGTATTAGTATTAACTGGTATTGGTATTAGTAGGCCTTGTTTGCTTCTCAGTTGAGTGGTTAGGGCTTCCTTCTGGTTGTCAACCAATAGCCATTATTCACTTTTTAAAAAAAGGTTTTATTTTTAATTTATGCATGTGTGCATGTGTGTGTGTGTGGATGACACATATATATGTAATAACAATTAAGGAAAAAGAGGCCATAAGTTTTAGCAAAGTTGAATGTATTACTAGTTTCATTACAATTTAATTCTGCAAGCTGAAATAAAAATGTTGTATCTAGTTGTACAGAGCTCTTCATGATCTTCTCACTATCATGACCGCCCTCTGGGTTCTGTTTGCTCTCATATAAACATTGTAGCTATTCTAACTGAACTTGTCTCTTATGGTCCCACAGTGCAAGGAACTTGTATTCTTCTTTTTATTCATAGCACATACAAAAGAGCTTGAAACTTAACAATGACTCAATAGAAATCTGCTAAATACCCAAGATTATAAGTGCTATGATAAATTATATTAGTTTTTCTAATGTTTAAGGCTTTATTTAAATTCTTGAAGTATAAGACTCAGAAATCCATATATATATATATATATATATATATATATATATATATATAATTTTTT